ACAGGCCTAATGAAAACTGATCACTGTAGATGGTGTCTGCAGCCATGAAATTAAAAGATGCCTACTCCTTGGGAGAAAAGCTATGGCAAACCTAGACAGCATAATAAAAAGTAGAGACATCACCCTGCCAACAAAGTCCATATGGTCAAAGCAATGGTATTCCCAGTAGTAATGTATGGCTGTGAGAGTTGGACTATAAGGAAGGCCGAGCACCAAAGAATAGATTCTTTTGAATTATGGTGCTAGAGAAGACTCTTGAGAGTCCCTTGGACTGCCAGGAGATCAAATCAGTCAATCCTAAAAGAAATCAACCCTAACTGTTCCCTGGAAGGCCAGATACTGAAGCTGAATCTCAAATACTTTGGCCATCAAAGACTGAACGACAACAACAAGGAAAAACTGAATAAGTTTCAGAAGCACCTAATGCTGAAAGTAGTCAAGAGTATGTTAAAAGTGTAGTAAAGGGAGAATGGGAAAATTAGGTTGCTCAAACCTCTGAGAGTTTACAGAATACGGGAGGGGGAGATTTTGAACGGTAGAATGGGATTTGTAAAATGTTTTAGATTCTTTACAGGCCCCCAGCTTGTTTATACTATAAGATATTTTATCTCTACTGGAACAGAAGGACTGTCACATAAACATCAGGATTTGTTACTTTGGCTGATAGATTCACATGGACTATGAAATTAGGTCTGCCAGTTTCCAGATTCTAATTACACAAATCCCAAAGTATGTTAATATTTTTTTCAGTTTGATTAAAGTCATTGGTGGGGCCATCAGGATAGGGGGCAGGTTCCAGTCCTCACATCTGCTATGTCACTGACTGGCTGCAACCCTTTACTTTCTTCCATATAAGTATTTGTCACTTGTGTGTAGAAAAATAAAATGCTGCACTTGAGACAAAACTTGCCTTGGTTTCCTGCCATCAGGTGGGGTGACCCTTCTTCAAGAGTAAAACAGGGAGGGAAAATATGCCTGCACAGAGGTATTGCACTCTTCAAGGAATCCTGAAATATACGAGAGCTCTGTTCCATTGGTCTTCAACCTATGGGCCAAGACTCTCTGTTAGGTTGCAGAGCCATACCTGCTGGGTCATTAGCCCGTATAGAGCAACCATTTTTGTTGCCTTTTGGAAGAACCTGCTGCTCGTGTGCTGCCACTGTGCTTGCGTAGAGAGTGTAAGTACCATGCCTCCTGTTTGTACATGTGCTGAGAGGAAAGGCTGCAAGTGTCATTCAGAGGTGGAAAGGATTCTTCTATAGCCCTGACCTTTGGTTTGTTCCTCACTGTGGCACACGTCTGTCCTTTGGCTGCGTTCCCAGATGTCATGGTCTAGTTTCCACAGTCCCAGCCTTGACCCTGCTGGGATCCTGACTCTGACACTCTCCATTCCTATTATATGACTCTTACATCAGGCTTTTCTACCACATGTGTACAACGCACTGCATCCCATGCTCAAGAAGTCCCAGGTTTGGAAAGGCTGAAGACCACTGCCATGCCAGGAGTTATATCAGAAGTGGCTGGCAGAACAGCTGCTGACATACAGTTAAGGTAAAGGTAAAGGTTCCCTTGCTCAAAAGCCAGTTGAATTTGACTCTAGGGTTCTGGTGCTCATCTCCATTTCAAAGCCGAAGTGCCAGCGCTGTCCGAAGACGTTTCCGTGGTCATGTGGCCAGCATGACTAAACACCAAGGTGCATAGAACGCTGTTACCTTCCTACTGAAGTGGTACCTATTTATCTACTTGCAATTTCTTGCTTTCAAACTGCTAGGTTGGCAGGAGCTGGAACTAGAGACGGGAGCTCACTCCGTCATGTGGCAAATCAGGTCTCAAACTGCTGAACTACTGACCTTCCACAGCCTGCAGTTCAGCATCTTAACCACTTGAGCCACCGCAGCTCCGACATACAGTTAGCTTCTTTTTAATTTCATATTAATAATATAACATACACAAATTAGTTATATGAGAAAGGATCATGGATGTTAGTGAATCTGAGATCGTTTTTAAGACTTGGAGTTCTCCTTGTTCATTTTGTCCAGTGATGTTGATAGTGCTTTCATAGGTTATTAATGATGTATTGGGAGAGACAAAGAGTTTATAGCCAGTTATTTTTTATGGGTAAGAAGGGACGCTGGCATTTGTGCCCACGATAGCTAAGGAAGTATTTCCAAGCTGTGCAAACATCTGGAGAGGAACCAAATGGAAAACTGTTTAATGTTATTGATAAGTAAGTCACGAGTCAATTCTGACTAGGTTGGGGTCTCATGGAGAGATATTTGGTAATATTAAAAAAGAGGAAGGAGGCGGGGTCTATGACACAACGATGGCGGATGCCTTTCCCATCTCTCTGGGGAGGCGTACCACACAGCAGTGAGGGGGAGAGGTGCTGCTGGTTCGGCACCCCCACGAGAGTTCAGGGAGAACTTCCAAGCCATAGGGCTTTTGAAGGTGAGCCTCTTTTCCTGCTAACGGCAGGGAGATGGAGGCTCCCCTCCGCCCTGACGGTCCCTCTCGCTGACTGCGTCCTCTTAGCGAGGCCACAAGCTGTGTTGACCCGATCAAGTGCAGGAGATCTAGTGGAGGAGTGATTAAGAGCGTGGTCAAGATAAAGACCAACAATGAACTGTGAGTTAAGGAGCGAACTGTGAGTGGAAATGAGCGATTTGTCTTCAGAAGAGAAAATCCCCTCCCCCTTAAAGGAAAAACTTTCTGAGCGATAACGTGCGGAGAGAGGGACGTCTCTCAATGCATTTACATAAACAGGGAGGGGGAGGGGGAGAGAAACTATTGTAAACGGATACTTGAAGTGAAATCCCCCCCGAAACCCCTTAAAGTGATTGGAGGGGGGTGCCTCTTTGACGCGTTTACATAAACGGAAGAGGGGAGGGGGAGAGAGAGATATAGTTGTAAACGAATACTTCTGAAAGACTTTATTTGCAAGCGTGTAAGCCTGTTGTGGTAGATTTCCATGAGCTTTTAACAGCATATGCGATTTGCAGAGCCAGGAAGAAAGAGACTTTATTGAAAATAAAACGTTGAAATGGCAGATACTCTAAAAAAGATGGCGAAAACTCCAAGGAGAAGAAGGGAAGTTGACATCACTGCACTAGTAGCAGAAGCCATCAAGCCGATCTTGGAGCAACTTGTTAGTATTAACCAGCAGATTGCCAAGATAAATCAACAATTTGTATTTCGGCAGCTCCAGGAGGCGATCGGAGAAAAAATGGAATTGAGGGCTCTCAAAGCGAATGAGATGGACACTAAATTAAGCAGTGATCTCAATGAGGAAAGAAGAAAAAGTACAAGAGAAACAGGAAAAATTTACAAGGATTTAACTTCTTCCCTGCGAGTGTTCTTAGAAAGTGTCATCTTAAAGTCTGCTGAGAAAAAAGAGCTGGAGGTGCCCTTCATAATCAAGAAACCTTTGAGAAGCCACTGGACCCTGAGACCAGAGCAGAAGAGGCTTAAGACTAACGGTTCTATTCCTTTGGATGGAAGAAGATTGGGCTGCAGTGAACATCTAAGAAGCTATCAAGAATTTAGAGAGTTTTAGTATAGATGTAAAGGTGGAAAGACTTTGCAAATTGCCTTTATGAAGCAAGCTGATGCTCGGGAAATCTTCTCATAAGAAGTAACAATCTAACATATAAGCTTAGAAAGACAGGACCTCACAAAGTATATTGCTTATTAACAGCCTTTTTTTTACTAACAGCATTTTAACAGGGAATGATCTCCTAACCTTGGGTTTTTAGCTTAGTGTGGGTTATCTTTTCTTTCTCCCTAAGTGTAGTCCCCCTATCCATATTTTTTCTTGGTAGTTTATGTAGTATTATAAAAAAAATAAAAAATCCCCTCCAGGGGCTTAAAAAAGAAAAAGAAAAGAGGAAGAAAGAATCAGTCAGTCTGTGAAGCTAACAAATAGACAACAAGCCTGCAATCCTGTGCAAACTTGCCAGGGAGTAAGCACTATTGAATGCAATGGGACTTACTTCTGAGTAAACATCTATAGGATTGCCCTGTAAATCTGATGTGAAAAGATAAAAAGACAGAAAACTAACAAAAGGTATAACAAAAGGAGGATAGGTCTAGCTGATAGGAATGAATGGATGGTAGTGATCCAGTATTCCCGTCTTCAGGGATGGACATCAGCTTATGTGGGAGAGGAATGGGCTTTAATTAATTAATTTGTTTACAGTGTTCTCATATAGTTATTCATCCATAATGGTTCTCAGAGTTGTTTGCCATTGAGTAGCTCTCTTCCCATAGAAGAAACTGGGAAGTCTCTGCATATAAAACATTCAGTGTGTACTCTTCATTCTATAGGCAGCATGCATCTCTATGTAAATAGCCATTACCTAGATATGAAAATATCATCTGATTATATCTAAATTTTAACCCCTTCTTCCTGCAAGCTTGGAGGGCAAGTCTTGCCATATTTTGTCTACATGTAGTAAGTGTGAAAGGTCTAAAACATGAGAATTGTAAATACTAACAAGAGCAAATGAGCCTCCTTCCCTTGAACACTGGTAGTGTTCTAAAAAGTCTCACCAAATGTCAGATTTTTAACAGTGGGGAGTCCAACAGCAGTTAATACAAGTCCAGGAGAAGTCTAGATTTGGATTTTCTTCAAAAGGAAATACTACTCCTTTCTACTTTTAGACTAACATAACTTTTGCCCATAGCTGTAAGATCATTGCAGTTAAACAGAAATATACATTAAATAATACACATTTGTGAACATCACTGTCTTAAAGCCCCATTCATTTCACAAGCGGTACTTGTTTGCCAAAGCAAATGTTGTAGAATCTGGCTGTAAAATACTTGAACTTGGATTAAAACATTTACCTGGAAATAAATTACACTGATTTGTATGTAACTTTTCTTATGTCCAAAAAAATCCTTAGAATCAGTCTGTCAGTATCTATTTTCTTAATTGATTTGTTAAACATTAAATTATCCAGCATCTCTAGAAAAACTTAAAGTATGAAATATTGTCTCACCTTCTGAGCCAAGGAGAAAAATGACAGCAATCCAAATTCCATTAATCTAAAATAAATTTAAGTACACACACATGTTAAAATGTAACTAAGCAACATAAATATGTCATTATTCCAGAGAATTTTGATTATCTAAAAGCATTTATGTCCTCAGATTTCTCCAGAATCTTCCTGAGGCAAATAACTATGTAAAACAATTTTTAAAAGCATCAAGAATAATTAAAATAACCAATTTTTTTAACATTGAAGGCCAAATCTCAGGAATGTTAGTCGCTCTTATGTCCCACTGAGATCACTTAATAGATCTTAAGTGAGTCATGCAGTGAGGAGAGCCATTGTGGTGTGGTGGAAAGAAAGTCTGATAGTCAGTGAATCCTCCTTCAACTCCGTGGGTGGCCTGGGGTCAGTCATTCTCAGCCTAACCTACTTTATAAGGGTGTTGTGATGATAGAATAGAGGAAAAGAGGACCATGTGTGCCACATTTGGCTAAATGGAAGAAGGGTAGGATAAAATTGTGATAGGTAGAAAGGTATTCTGACATCTTGGGATATGAATGGGATTTAAGGAGACTGCCTTTGGACTGGGAATTGCATGTTTTCAAGTAGCACTTCCAGGAATATCTAGTGGTTCAGAATACTTACAATGCTTGCATGTTAGATTCATAATGCAAATGTATTTCAGACTTAAATGTGGTGAGAGTTTGCTCATCACTAGTAATATTCATCTTCGCATAACAATTATTTTAACTGTGTATTTCATTATTATGGATTATTTTACTAACGTTGCAAACCACATTGCAGCTCTCTCTCTCTCTCTCTCTAATATTGATTCTCTTCATTTATACCCCACCTTTTTCTCCAGTGGGGACCCCAAACAGGTCATATCATTCTCTTCTCCTCCATTTTATCCTCACAACAACCCTGTGAGGTAAGTTGGGCTGAGAAAGTATGGCTGGCCCAAGGTTACCCAGTGAACTTTTATAGCAAAGTAGGGATTCAAACATGGGTCTCTCCAGTCCTAATCTGATACTCTGACCACTGCACCACACTGGAGATAATCTTTTAGATAATAAATGTTCTGTCCTTGTATTAAATGTAACCCAATATATGAAACTGAATGTAAACAAATAATGCACAACTGAAAATGAAACACAGCTTTATCACATGGCAATTTTTAAAATGAACAATGAAAAACAAACAAACAAAAGGACACCAGGCAGTCACAAATCACTATCTACATCACAGTATGAAGGAGTCACTGTTGTTAATCTCCATACATCTTTTCCAAAAACTGTTCATGTGTAACTCATACTCTGGTAAGTTGGTAACATTAATAACCTGTGGACAGTCTTCTGAATGGAGCTAATTCACACACGCACACACACACATCTAGGAAGGAAATGTGGCAAGTCGGAATCAGTGTATTTATTGGCATCATTCCTTTGTTCATTTCACAAAGGACACTGAAAGCGCAGTCCTAAATAGAGTTATGTCCTAAACCCATTCATTTCAGTCCTGTTTACCATTGCACTTCTATAACCACTGGCGTCAGAAGAACTGCACCACAATACATGGTGAGAGGATTATGGTATACAAGTCAGGAATCGAAGTGAAGAGGCAAATAAAAAAATCTATTTGTAATGGCTGCACTATAAAATCTAAGATAGTACAGTTGTAGGCTTTGGACAGCTTTTATATAATGTCAAGTTTCCACACACACACACACACCCAATCCCACAAAATTTTGATTTTGTTGTACTTAGAGCAATTTGTGTCGAAGATTTTGGCTTATCTGATACACGATTTGATTATCTGAACTAATAAAAGTGTTGAAACAATACTAATACTCAAGATTCCCATTAACCAACTTGGCCAGTGCCATTATTTCCCTAAGGGTACATTCAAATACAGTAGCTATTATATTAATGGGATGATCAAAATCTGATATTCTAATGAACAAAAGATAATGTGGGTTGTTTAACTGATACTTAATTTTCCTTGAGTCACTGGATCAATGTCGGGTGTATAGCCCTTGAAATTGGCTACAATTACTTTAAAGTGAATTCATGACTTTGGAAAAGATTTAGTATATTTTTGTGTACTGTCTGAAAGGCAGCATGGTATAGCCTGATCTCATCAGATCTCGGGAGCTAAGCAGGGTCGGTACTTGGAAGGGAGACCACCAAGGAAGACTCTGCAGAGGAAGTCAATGGAAAACCTCCTCTGCTTCACACTTGCCTTGAAAGCCCCTTGTTCAGGTCACCATACGTTGACTGCTACTTGATGGCACTTTTCACACATTTGGAATACTTAGAAATTCTGCTTTTTAGCCATGAAACGTGTTTAGTTTTGCATAGGCTAATTTATTGAAATTAAAACTGCTGGCTATGAGAGATGGGTTTTATTTCTAAAAATGAAATGGACCTCTTCCACCAGGTCTTTAGTTAAGGCAGTGGGCATCCATTTGATTAGGCCTGGAAGGTAGCCCCCCCCCCCCGGATTGCAGATCCTGGAAGCCAGACTAGGACCACATCATTTGCTGTTGAGGCATGTTGTTGTTTAATGCAGATATTTGAATGAAATTAGGATGATGATTTTATGGATTTTAAATTGAGTATTGTAAGATGTTTTTAATATTGTAAATCTCTATTATCTGCAGATACATATATGCTGTTACCCACCTGAACCTACAATGTAGGGAGGGGGGGCTATAAATCTAATGAAATAAAAATAAGATAATTATTTCATTTTAAAGCTGTATTACTAGTCCTAGCTTTGTCCAAAAATCAGAGTTTTTTAGCATTTGGATTTCAGCCTCTAGAAACACTTGTTTTGGCAACGGAAAAGAAATGTTACAGATCTCTGCATTGGCACCCTTAAAAGGACAACAAAACACTTATGGATTGAAAGCCCCATATGACCTGCCTTATTGGGCAATTACTTATACACTTGTAAAGCTTTAGGTATTCTAGAATGGGCCTGTGGTCAGTTGCCTATAGTTTTACATATTGAACTTTGGTCAACTTACTGGCAATAGGAAATGTAAAAAAAAGTTGACAAATACAAAAGGAAGACTTAATTCAGAGACCTTTTAATTTATACAAAACTGATCCCAGTTGGTCCTTCCTCTTTTTCCACTCTGTGGTACTGTAATAGTAGTTCCTGGTCCCTTGCATGTCACAAGAAAACAATCTAGACAAAATATTTCTTCTATACTGCAAAGGCCTTCTTTGAACTCGTAACCCAGAAAACCAATAATTGATCAGGCAATTTAAGTATCCACCATATCTTCCTGTCTAAATTATGAAACTGCTTCTGGAACAGATTCTGAAATAGTAGATTAAGAGAATACGATGGGGTGGGTGTGTTAATTGTAAAATCCTTTATTTGGATCTGAATCTTCATGAACTATAGAGATGCCTTTAATTCATCCACCCACCACTAGTGATTTGGACCTGAATGCCTTTAATTCATCCACCCACCACTAGAGGGCATGCTGTATTACCTTTGCATGCTGGGAGTTTTCCATATTATGAGGATACATCCTTTGGGAGCACTTAATGCTGTCCTCCCCCCTTCCCCCCACAATGGCTGAATAATAGACCTTGTTTCCCATTTGTGTTTGTTCTCTTGTTTTCCCACAGTAACTAAATTGCCCTGAAGAATGCTATATCTTATCAGCCACTTACCATTATAAATCCAGTTCCCATTAACACTGTGAAATCCTCATTCAGATTGTTCTCCTGCTGTGCTATTCCCTCTTCTCTTTACTATGCACACAATTGAGAAGTGCATATATGAGATGACAAAGTCCCCAGGGAAGTGATCTGAGTGGCAACTGGAGTTTGGTGGGTGTGGACTTTGTCTGCATGTATCCTAATTATGTACTTTTCCATGTGTGGGATGTCCGGGCAGCTAGTAACTCATCTTATTCATCCTCATTCCTCTGTTTTCTTCAGCTCATGCTTTTAGTTTTGCTCACTTTACTTACACCCACTGAAGTTTCACCATTTCAGATCTCATATTTTGCCGGCAGCCTTCACAAGCCACACAAAACATGCAAAAGACAATGTAGGACATAATATAAATATTCATTGTGGAAAATGACTAAGGGATCAAGAAGCTTGGAGATACTTGCTTTTCTGTGAAGACTGAGTTCTCTAGCTAGGATCCTGCTCTACACCTCCACATTTAGGGTTATGGAAGAACCTCAGTAAGACAGAAATTTATACTCCAGAATATTGAAGTTTTATTTATTTATTTTATTTTAACCATTTTATGCCACCTTTCACATAAATATGATCCCCTAAATGGTGAACATGAAAACATTAAAAACATTAAAACACCATTTATAGTAATGTATAAAATAATTGGTCAGAGTTGGGCAGTGGTTGGTCAGAGCATACACATGAAGCTGTCTGTATGATATTCTGTCTGATCATTCATCCATCTATTTACATCTGTCTAGAGTTGGATTCGACTGGCTTTCAAGCAAGGGAAACCTTTACCTTTACCTATCTTGTCTATCTACCCTGGTGGCAGCTCTCCAGGGTCTTGTGTAGAAGTCTTCTCCCACCCGTGGTACCTGGATATGTGGGGCTGAAGCTAGGACTACATGCCTATAAAACATTTGTTGTTCCACTGAAAGGGAAATATCTCCTCTGAATGACACAGAATTGGGACTGTGGGGAGATCAGATCATGCAAAATATGCAAGGAAATAAGCCCACATTTTCCCAGAAGTCATTGCTGGTTTGTTTTACCATTGTTCTCTCTCTCTCTCTCTCTCTCTCTCTCTCTCTCTCTCTCTCTCTCTCACACACACACACACACACACACACACACACAAACACACAAATACAGTAAAATATATATTGGTTCTCCCATCTCCGATTTTATCTTCAGAAACAACTCTATGAAATGGGTTATGCTGAGGGAGAATGACAAAGGCCACCCAGTGAACCTCTTGGCTGAAATGTGATTTGAATTTGGGTCTGAACTAGCATTGTAACCTCGGTCACTGCATTCATTCTCCATTTTTCAACTCC